TCCTTCCTTCCTTCCTTCCTTCCTTCCTTCCTTCCTTCCTTCCTTCCCCTCTTCCCTCCCTTTCCCTTTGCTATATCCATGGCAGCAAGATTTTTGTTGCACCACAGTCTCATGCAAAAGGACAAAAAGGGACATTTACCACATGGCCATCTGGGGATGAGAAGAATGGGCGGGCAGGCAGCAAGTCCAGATCTCACAGAGAAGGGGAAATGAGGGGAAAGTGGATAGCTGTGGGGCGGAGCAATCAGTGAAACAGGTAATATGGAGAGTTGTAGAATGGGCTTAAGCAAGGTTTGTCCCACCTTTATAATGTCACTGAAGAGGAACAAGAAAAACCCAAAGATTAGCTATGGCCCTCTTACCAGAGCATTGGGCTGTGGTAGGTGCCCAACGATACCATGCTTAAGTGTTATTGTCAGTAACAACGAAACTCTGATTCGGAGAATCTTGAGAATCTCAGCCCCAAGTGCACTCTGATCTCTGCCCATCTTTTCCATATCTTAGCCTGGGACCTCCCACTATGGAATACTACCTTCTTCTGATACCCCTGCTGGGTCTGGTAAGCAGCGAACTGCCGTTTGTACAAAGAGGATTCTGGGACTTCTCCATGGACGACCCCTCAGTCCAAGAAGAGGAAGAGGCTTCTGGGATCTTCCCTACTTCGAGTGGAGCTGAGGCAGAAGACATTCCTTTCTACCCAGGCCTCTGTCCCTTTGGCTGTCATTGTCACCTAAGGGTGGTCCAATGCTCTGATCTAGGTGAGTTTCTTTCCTGGGGGTGGGTGGGGAGGAGATTACAGCAATTGGGCAGGACTGTGTGATCTAGCATTCATTCTGGAGATCCTAGTGCTATGAACAGAGGTAAACATCTATTGTTGGAAAATTTAAACATAGGAAACAAAAGAGTTTAAAATATTGTTCCAAAAATATTAGAACATGGAATAATAGAGTTGGAAGGGACCTTGGAGGTCTTCTAGTCCAACCCCCTGCACAAGCAGGAGATTTATACCATTCCAGCCAAATGGCTGTCAGGTGTGAGAAATCAAGAAATCCAGGCAGTTCAAATGAATATAATGGTTTATTGCAAGTTTACAATAATCTGAGCTACTAAAAAATCTGAGCTACTAAGAGACAAAGCAAATTGGCTGTAGATAAGAGTCAATGGAATTCAAGGTGGGCTGGACTTAGATTTCTTGTTGGTACGAAGATACTCGAGAATGATGACACATTTGACCCTTCCCTCGGGCTCAGCCTGGTTATCTCCTACACCAATCTTTTCTTAAAAACCTCCAGTGATGGAGCACTGACAACTTCCAGAGGTAAGCCATTCCACTGGTTAATTGTTCAGTCAGGAAATTTCTCCTTAGTTCTAGATATGTTTTTAGCAGATGGATGGATGGATGGATGGATGGATGGATGGATGGATGGATGGAT